ACATCTCATGAACCACAATTCGGCTTGAGTTTGTTCGGCATACCAGCGGAACATGTCGTTGTTAGTCAGTTCCACGGTATCCTGGTGGGCTGCAGACGTTCCCATCTAAGGTGTAGCCCCTACTTCCCCGAGAAGGGCGTTTTATACACTCTCCAAGCGCTGTGGAGGTGGAAGGGATTGTTCGTTAACTCTTGTGGAGTCGTTACGCGAGATCGGACAGGGGATGTCTACGATTACGGTCGACGAGGCGATGCGCGGGTTGAACACAGAGTATGTGTTTGCATTGGTAAGGGTGGCAAAGACCCTAAAAAATCTAACCGCAACCAAAGATTTGTGTGCAGGGGAGGAGTACTGTCCTCTCCACCAACCTTTCAGAGCTGGGTTCCATGGGCGACCGACTGTGAGATCTCCCGTATTTGGGTTAGGAAAGATCTCTCATGTTGCTCGAGTAGGGCCTGGACGGTTCTGACCGACGCATCCTGTGTCTGTGCTTTTTCCACCAGCGTGGAAAGTAATTAACGGATCTCGGTCATCTCATCTCGCGTCCGCTCCGTCTTCCCGACGGGGGTTGAGATGCGGGCGTATTCTGGAGATCTCCGGACACAGTTTCCGCGGAGATGTCCTTGTTTCTTATCCAAAAGCCTCGCGAGGATGCTGGGATCGTCGCAGCGGTAGCCGAGGCTGTCGCCTTCGCCGGTCGGTGTTAGTCGGCCTAATCTACTGCAAATGGTCGGTTCTCAGTCGGAACAGTGATGTTGGTTTCTGTTCTGCTCTGGTCTCGCGGCTGTGATCCAGATGGTTCTTGACTATGGGGAGTTGCGGCCGGTGCGTCGCTGGTTTTCGGCGTGGCAGACTTTGATTTATCCATCTCTTCTTTAGCAGATCTTAGGTCAAACTTCTGTGCTAGACGTATCTATTTCTTCCCCTTAGACGGTGCCAAATGTGGAAGCTAAATTCCGCACTAAGTATTTGTATGTAAATTCAAAGAAGAAACTTTGGTCCTAAAAACTGTCTGTAAGCTCAACGATTAAGAGAAGAGTAAAGAGAAGCTGGATTTATATTGATATGAATCGAATATACAATAAGATCTCGAGTGAGTATTACAAGCTGAAAGTGTAGTGTTTAGCTCTCGCCTAAGTAAAAGTTGGCAAAATCTGCTCGGATTCCTTGTATTTATAGCTCAGTTCAGCTCGTCGATCCAGCTCCACGTATCCGGGGTGGTTCCACGTATCTCGAGCACGTTCTTAGCATATTCTCCAAAATTCTCGCTCTTACGACTGTGATAACCGTCCCGTTGACTCGCTCCCAGCTCATTAGCTCCGCATTTGTTGACTCGGCCCTTGCGGGACTGACTTGGGCCTCGAACGAACCTTGTCTCTTTTCTCTTAAAACTGGGTCGTAGGCCCAACGGATTCGATCAACTCTCGCGAAAGAGAAGACTTTGACTTGAGCTTTTAGCGGGCCAGACTCGGTGATGAATCGAGCCCCAACAGAGACTTGAAACAAAACTAGTCGGGATTTACATTAATAAACAAAAGATTTTTATAGATCCGAACAAAGTCGGAAGCCAAAATCCAAACAAGCCAAAAACACAAATCCGATGACTCGTAAACAGATCTTACAATCAGGACTCAGCCAGCCAAACCAAAATAACTCTCAACCTATTTAACAGAAATCTAGAT